TACATACACGTAATAAAAAAGTTGACTTCCATACATAAATAAACCCAATTTTGAATTCAAAACTGCACGTCATTTGTGTTCTTAGAAAACACGCAAACCTTTTTGTGGTTACATCATTACAATAATTATTTGTATTATAGTTCGTATAATTGTGTTTTGGGGACGCAAGCTGCCACGATGTTTCTCTTGATTTACAACACAAGTTTTTACATTGTATTTATATATTTATGAATTTCTCTTCATTAATTGTCGTACTTTATTTCCCCAGAATTCTACTAGTAAAAGTATTTACAATTTTTACTATTTTTAAAAAATAATAATAATTGAATTTGCTACAGAATTAGCTTACAAATGATTACATTTCCTCAGGAACTTATCAAACAACAAGATACATTCTTTCCCGTCCCAGTTGTTCTCCAAAGTTTGCCTGTTAGCAAAGTTGTAAGTATTAGTTAGGAGTATTGAAATGTTAGACTGAATATTTTGCATTCGTTACTGTAATATAAAGTTTTCTTTTTACTGTGGAATATAATGGATATCTAAACTTGCACATGTGCTGAATCCTCCCTATTTATTACATCGGAAATTAAAGATTCATATAATTAGGTGAAGTAATGTTAGAAAATATTAAATTTCACATTTAAAGAACACTTAATCCTCCCTATTTAATACATCACAAATTAAAGATTCATATAATTAGGTGAAGTAATGTTAGAAAATATTAAATTTCACATTTAAAGAACACTTTATCCTCCCTATTTAATACATCGCAAATTAAAGATTCATATAATTAGGTGAAGTAATGTTAGAAAATATTACATTTCACATTTAAAGAACACTTAATCCTCCCTATTTAATACATCACAAATTAAAGATTCATATAATTAGGTGAAGTAATGTTAGAAAATATTAAATTTCACATTTAAAGAACACTTAATCCTCCCTATTTAATACATCGCAAATTAAAGATTCATATAATTAGGTGAAGTAATGTTAGAAAATATTCAACTTCACGTTTAAATAACACTTTATCCTCCCTATTTAGTACATCGCAAATTAAAGATTCATATAATTAGGTGAAGTAATGTTAGAAAATATTCAACTTCACGTTTAAATAACATTGCAGTGAGTATTTTTTTATTTATTTATTAGTAAGAATAATGAATTGATCAAAAGAGTAGAAAGGATATTCATTGAAAGTTCATACATATCTGTAGATTAATTAGCCCGGATAGGATGTTTATCGTTAAACTACTGTCACAAGGCAAATTAATTCGTGTAGATAGGTTTTGTATTTTCATAGCAATGTTAAATTGTAGGTTAACTAGCCTGGATAGGTTTTGTATTGTCAGAGTAATGTTAAATTGTAGGTTAACTAGCCTTGATAGGATTTATATTGTCAAAGTAACGTTACATTATTGGTTAATATGATATATTAACTAGCCTGGATAGGTTTTGTATTGTCAAAGTAATGTTAAATTGTAGGTTAACTAGCCTTGATAGGATTTATATTGTCAAAGTAACGTTACATTATTGGTTAATATAATAG